TTTTTGTTTACCTTGGAATTAAGAACAAAACTAGTGACCAAGGGTAAAATTTAGGTCAAAGTATGGTCCTGAAAGTGTATCAGCAACAAGCAAGAAAAAAAGAGTGTTAAACAAAAAAATAAAAGATGAGATAGACCAGAAAATTATATGTATCAAGTGAAGAGCCAAGTGAATTCATGTTGAAAAGTAGAGAAGATGAAGATGAAGGGAAAAGTTTAAATTGAAGAGTGTATCATTAAGAACAGATTTATCCTTTAAGAATAATGAAATGTCTTTACAACTCCTCCAAGATGTGATGGAGAGTGAGGGAGAGAATGATGAAAAATATTAAAAAAAATAGGAGGGTAAAAGATGTGTCCATAGTGAACGTGAGAAACTTTTGATACAAATTACTGTATATTAGCTGGCTATTAGAGTTGAAGGCGAAAAAAGAAGATGATTATGATAAGATGAACAAGAATAATAACAATGATGAAAAAATTAGATGAAGGAGAGAGAGGATATAAGGAGTGGAAGGGTCAAGAGAAAGTCGTAAAAAAAGGCCGTTTTCTTCTCGTTCTAAGGTGAAAAGTCAAGTCAAAATGTATAAGGGTTAAGATAAATGTATCTATTATCATTGTTTGTATAGATGAAGGTAAGCAAATTAACGGAGTTTTGTGTAATCTAAAAGGTAAAATAACAATGGTCAAGAAGAGGGTGAAGACCATTGATGGTTGAAAGGGGTTATTACTCTTTCTTTTTTTGCTCGTTTTTCTTTTTCTCTTTTTGGAGGTTCTTTTTTACCCGAGTTACCTATTTACTCACAAATTAGTTCAACACAAAAAAAGTGACCAAAGAAATCAATAACAGATATAAATAAATGTATACAAAGAGTGGTCTTTATACTCGGTGAAGTTTCCTTGTTCATTCACCCTTTTAAGATGTTGTTCAATACTGAAAAGGCTTACGTAAATTACGGACAAATGAGTACAATGAGATGCTCACTGGTCAATGTTTATATTGAAAGGTAATAGGTTAAAGGGTTTGACTGTTAATTTGTTTTTGCTGGTGTAACCTGTGAACCTCTTTAATCACAAAGAGTGCCAAGAGGATGAACAAATGATAATGGTAATGAGGAATAAATTTGGTCAACAAGAGAGATGGGAAAGTCCATTTGATGTAACAAATCGTAATCCATAACGAGGTCAGTCTATTTTTTTCATTTCTTATGTAGACATCCTTGGGTCACTTCCGTCCAGCAGTAATGACACAAAGAGGGTAAAGTTGAAAATGAGAAAAGAAAGGAAAGTAAAAAATTGAAGAGAAATTTTTTTTATATAAGAAAAAAGGGAGCAGAAAATACAATCAAAAGCTGGACGTTGAATAATTTTGATGGAGAAAAAAGCATTGGAAGAAAAGGTCAAAATAATATGGACAAGAGAAAAGGCAACAAAAGCATTAATACTGATGTAATTTGCTGTGATTTTTTGCTTTTCGTGTGTTCATCTTGATTCTGGTGAAGACGATGAAGAAGAAGAAGAAGAAGGAAGATATAAATCCTCTTTTTTTAAGGCTGAAAAACATCTTTCTTTATCATCTTCTTCTTGTTCTTTCCTCTTTTATCATCATTTATAAATATATTTTTTAATACAATTTGCATTTACTACTTTTTTGAACCTTTTTCTCGAAAAATGTTGCGTTCAGGCTTCCTTCCGCTTTGTCCAGCCTGACTAACGCAGTCTGTCCTTCACTTTCATTCTCACTCGATCATCCCTTTCACTCTCTTCCATCTCTCTTCTCTTTACCTTTTTTACCTTTTCATCTTTTCATCTCTTTGAAACGTTTTTTAACAGAGTTAAGGGTAAGTCTTCACTTTCCCAGGTTCATTTCCTTCGGGAATAAAAAATAAGTAAAAAACAACTTCTGCAAAATGCAGAGAGAGAGAGAGAGAGAGAAGTGAGTGAGTAAAGAAGAATAGGTAAAAAAGTTAAAAAACGCTTGACGTTGAGGTCAGTTGGTCGTTTTTTATGCTTCAAAAATACTTGACGTAACCTGGACACGAAAATAACCCGAAAAAAAGGAGAAGCCCCTGAGAGAGATGAGAAGGAAAATGGAGAGCAAAGAGGAAGATGAAGATGAATGAAAATGAGGAAGAAGAGCGTTGTCCAGCAGAAGCTGGGTCATGGATTGGCCAAATAAGGTTTGGTCATCTTAGATGTGGCAAAGCCCTGCAATATCTTTACACACCTTATTATTGAAGGAACAAAACTTGAAGGTAAAAAAGAAGTTTGTTTTTTTATTAACTATCCAATGCAATTGTGCAAAAATTATTATATATTATTCTTGAAAGGAGAGTGAGTTAAACAGGGAGAGTAAAAGTGAGTAACATGGATGAACATTTATTTGACCTGAATGTAATTTATTTAACCAACAAGTTATTTTATACCTTTCACTTGACTGACAGGTATAAAGGTGAAGATGGTGAACAAAATGATCTTAAGATGTTGGCCGAGGCCGAGTGAGAAAGGGAGAGTTGGCTTTGATTAATCAAGATGAAAACGTTTGTAATAAACTAATAGTGAGAGAGAGAGAGAGAGAGTCTGGTAAGTTACAATGTCACATTATGACCGGAAATCTTTGTGAAAATTCCCATTGATAAATGTTATAAAACTCGGATGCGGATGTTATTCCAGTTTGAGAGAAAGTTTAAGGTTGAAAGTGAGAGTTTGATGGTGAGATGAAGATAAGTGAGACTTTTCACCTTTGTTCTATCATCTGCAGCTCAAGGTGAAATATCTGACTGGCTCAATGTGATAACAATAATGAGATGGGAAATAATGGCCATTACAAGTTGAATAAGTACGAAAATTGAGAAATGTCCGTTTACCTTTTTCGAGGTTCATTTTCGTTATCAATGGACATTTTTTTATTATTTTTGGGTAAAGTCACAATATCAATGGACATGGACACTGTGTCCATCCTGAATTGGCACATTATTATCAACAATTGACTTGATAAACTGTTGTCATTCATTAGAAATGAAATTTTGTTTTCACTTTTTTTTCTGGATACTTTTTACTACCAACTTGTAACCATAATAATCATGATTTACTGACTACATAAATATATCAAAATATTGCATAAAACTGTTGTTTTTATTGCATTTTAAACAGTCTTTTCTTACTTTCATTCAACCTTCTTCCTATTTTAAATGAAACATTTTGTACCAGCATTTACTCAAATCATTTATATTATCGGTATTTATATCAATATTTATATCAACAATTTAAACAAGGAAACATGAAATAAATGATAAATTACTGAACCATTTCAAGGTTTTCATTTGGTTCAATTTAGCACAAAAATCAACAGTAAAATAGTGACAAAGTTTTACCTTTAAAAAGTGCTTTTATCACATTTGTAAATATTAATCAAACCATGATTTAATTAGCAATTACAGCTAGAGTGAATATAAAAAGGAATTTAAAACTCCAAACTAATAATTCAAAATGATATTCAACTTTCACTATTAGCAATAATGATTATATCAAAATAATGATTCCTAGGTAAATGATTGAGTTGGTAAAAGATAATTAAAGTCTATTTCATCAGCTACAATCATCATGAAAATGATAAGCAAATATTTTAATCAATAGGTGAAAGTTGCAGGGAATAAATTAAGTCTGATTAAAGGTTTGGAAGCAATTTTAAATAAATGTTTGAACAACTTTCCCTGATTGGTTCATTGAATGAAAGGGTTAAAATGATTGGATGGTTACATAAGCAAGGGAGGAGAGAGATGAAGACAAGTTTGCAAAGATGATGAAAAACCTACAATATGAGAGTGAAAAAAACAAAAATGAAAAAAAGTTGAAAAGCTATCTTGCTGTTAAGATGATGATGATGTTAC